AGACGGGCTGTCTAGCACCGCCAGAAACTGCATCTATGCCCAACTCTAGCCAGTTCAGAGGTTCGGAGTGCTAGGAAGAGCCTAAAAGACGGCTAACCTACAGGCAGCGAGCCGCACTCACGGCAGGCTATCGATCGGCCTACACGCGGCAAACGCAACTGGCAGTAAGTCAATCAATAATTTAAAATTTAAGCTGCAGGTAACCGTTGAGTCACAAGCCGATCCTACCGCTACCCATGCCAGGACAGAAGCTGATTGGCTCGATTGACATAGCTACACAAGCGTTTTCACCTTAAATCTGTTGTACCAATTACGCCCAAAGACTTCTGCTTTTGCCTTCTTCTTGAAGAATGCGCATCACTGATGCGAGGCTATGCCCGTCCCTATCGTACTCTGGTATCAGCGGTTGAGACGAGCGCAGGTTAGACCCGTGTAGACGGACTTTTTAGCTTGTCAAGTACTGTGTCTGCATCCATTCCGTATCGCTTTGACATTATCTTGCCGTCAGGTAAGGCGAGAGCAAGTCTGCCTCACACCAAACCGGGACGGCGCCTAATCCGTAGGGCAAAAAGTTGACGTCACTGCTCGTGCCAAAGGCTGTATTTACATGGAGCCCGCTACTATTTCGGATGTTTACATGGACTGCACATTATTAGCAGAAATAGATGAAAACAGTGGCTTAGAAGGCGGAAATTTAGAGAATGTTAGCTCCCAGGGCATTTTCTCCTAAGTAGAAAGAAGTGTCGTCGTGGATAAATTTCACCACCCAAATGAGATAAATTTCATCACCAAACTGACAAAAGATTCAAGGACTAAACTCAGTTGATGCCTTAAAAAGAGGTAAATCAGATTATATCTTTGTCGGTACTCCATCGCTGCCCATTCCTAGAGGCTATTGGACAGTCTAAGAAAACTTTTTCATTGAGTTACGACGTAGAACTGGATGAACCCTTCCTACGACAATTGATATTCGCGATAGCAAGCGACAGGAAATCAGACAGGT